GGCTCTATACACCACCACAATGGATTTGAAATGAGAATCAGGTGAACGGTGTAGGAATTACAACCGTTTGCATATGTGCCTCCCACTTGTTCAGGGACCAAAAGTAATGGGACAGAATAATAATCATAAATCAAACTTTCACTTTTTAATACTTGGTTGCAAATCCTTTGCAGTCAATTACAGCCTGAAGTCTGGATCGCATAGACATCACCAGACGCTGGGTTTCATCCCTGGTGATGCTCTGCCTGGCCTTTACTGCAACTGTCTTCAGTTCCTGCTTGTTCTTGGGGCATCTTCCCTTCAGTTTTGTCTTCAGCAAGTAAAATGCATGCTCTATCGGATTCAGGTCAGGTGATTGACTTGGCCATTGCATAACATTCCACTTCTTTCCCTTAAAAAACTCTTTGGTTGCTTTTGCAGTATGCTTTGGGTCATTGTCCATCTGCACTGTGAAGCAGCGTCCAATGAGTTTTGAAGCATTTGGCTGAATATGAGCAGATAATATTGCCCTAAACACTTCAGAATTCATCCTGCTGCTTTTGTCAGCAGTCACATCATCAATAAAAATACAAGAGAACCAGTTCCATTGGCAGCCATACATGCCCATGCCATGACAATACCACCACCATGCTTCACTGATGATGGTTAGGATCATGAGCAGTTCCTTTCCTTCTCCATACTCTTCTCTTCCCATCACTCTGGTACAAGTTGATATTGGTTTCATCTGTCCATAGGATGTTGTTCCAGAACTGTGAAGGCTTTTTTAGATGTTGTTTGGCAAACTCTAATCTGGTCTTCCTGTTTTTGAGGCTCACCAATGGTTTACATCTTGTGGTGAACCCCCTGTATTCACTCTGGTGAAGTCTTCTCTTGATTGTTGACTTTGACACACATATACCTACCTCCTGGAGAGTGTTCTTGATCTGGCCAACTGTGGTGAAGGGTGTTTTCTTCACCAGCAAAGAATTCTTTGGTCATCCACCACAGTTGTTTTCCGTGGTCTTCCGGGTCTTTTGGTGTTGCTAAGTTCTCCGGTGCGTTCCTTCATTTTAAGAATGTTCCAAACAGTTGTTTTTGGCCACGCCTAATGTCTTTGCTATCTCTCTGATGGGTTTGTTTTGTTTTTTCAGCCTAATGATGGCTTGCTTCACTGATAGTGATAGCTCTTTGGATCTCATCTTGAGAGTTGACAGCAACAGATTCCAAATGCAAATAGCACACTTGAAATGAACCCTGGACCTTTTATCTGCTCATTGTAATTGGGATAATGAGGGAATAACACACACCTGGCCATGGAACAGCTTAGAAGCCAATTGTCTCATTACTTTTGGTCCCTTAACAAGTGGGCACATATGCAAACTGTTGTAATTCCTACACCGTTCACCTGATTTGGATGTAAATACCCTCAAATTAAAGCTGACAGTCTGCAGTTAAAGCACATCTTGTTCGTTTAATTTCAAATCCATTGTGGTGGTGTATAGAGCCAAAAATGTTAGAATTGTGTCGATGTCCCAATATTTATGGACCTGACTGTATATACAGTCATTAACTTCTATAGGCAATTAGCACTATATATGGCCAGATATGGTCATGTGCATTTAAAAGTCTTTCATATAACATTCTATAAGATCTGACTATCCTATTCTTTGGAAGAGCAACAATTGTAACAGGAAAATTGCTGACTTGATCTTTTGATTGTCTTTATTATTTCTAGGTTGAGCTGTCTAATTTGTGGATAATTTTGAACCTCATTAATAATCATTAATTGTACGATTTTCCTGAGACTGACAAATTTGCATGAGTTAATTTATGAGAATAAGCCCTGGTTCACACTAGTTCACTTGAAGTCGCACATTTTCAGAGTCGTATGTCATTGCAACTTCAGGTGCAACTTGGCAGACATCTGTGCAACTTCATGCACAGATGTCAATGCAAGTTGCACCAGAAATTGGGAAAAGTAGTGCAGGAACTACTTTTCAAATTGGTGCAACTCCGACAAAGTTGGAGTCGCACCGATTAGAACAGTCCCATTGCCAAACACAGGGTGCAGCTTGTCATGCAATTTGACACTGTCAAATCACATGATAGGTTGCATTGGTGTGAACCAGGGCTAAAAAGAAAAACTACACATTCACCAGTATGCCTGGTTTTTGACATGATTAGCTAATCACTATGTCACTTTTGGCTTGGTGGACCCACTTAGACACCAGAGTCACTGGATGACTAAGGCTGACCATACATTATACAATTTTCTTGTACAATTTTCCTTTAGATTTAACAAGACTATATAATATGAGGTCATACCTAAACTCTTCCAATTTGTATGCAATCAGGCAGGCCCTTGCACTATATAGTTGAAGCTAAATCTAAAGGAAATTGATAAGGACATTGTATAATGTGTAGCCATCTTAAGGAATGACAGCTGACCTCAGGTGGAATTAAGGTGTCCTTTTATGACACAGAGAATAGCTGTGATTCAGAGGATCTCAGCTATTCTCTGGTCATTCACAGTTTATGACACTCAGGAGAACATGTTCAGCCCTTCCCTGGCGATCTGTGTTCTCCCTCCAGATTCTCCAGCCCAGAGCTGGAGAATCAGAGGGACCGCAAACTAAGCAGAGATAATTTACCTCTGCTTAGTAAACTGATCTTTTACTGTAATCTCTCTAGATTATAATAAAATCACCCGTTTTCCAGCATTTGTAGACCGTTCTCCCTTCGTTTGGAGAACTGATCTACATATGCTTCATAAATGGCATTCACAGGAGAACTGTGTTCTCTGAGAATGCCGGAGAACTGAGCAGCGATCTATTACTGCTGGTTCATAAACGGACACCTAAGTGCGGTACATAAATGTGAGCTGAATGTGAGTCAAACAGGCAAAGAGTTGAGGCAGGCAGCAAATAAGGCCAGTAGATAAGTCAGAGGCAGGTAGTCTAAATACAGTTCACATCCTTCACAGAAATCAATCCAAATAGTCAAGTAACCAGACAAGCATCAGAAAGTCAGAACTTTTGATTAGGAATAGGCTTAGGTTCCTTTCACGCGGGCATTCCGTATGTCCATTTTTCATCTGTCCATGTATTTCTATGGACTTGGGGATGTAAACAGATGAACATCTTTTCACATCTGTTAATGTCCACATCCGTTAACATCTGTTTTTTCTGAACGGAAGAAAACACAAATTTTCTTCTTCCAAAAACCCCGAAAAGGACGAAAAACAGATGCCAATGGATTAAACAGATTTACAGATGTAAACGGATTAAAACTGATGTAAACGGATGAAACAAGGATGTAATCGGATCTTAACAGATGAAAAACGGATGTAAAGCAAGTTAAACGGATGAAAAATGGATGAAAAAAACAGATGTAAACAGAAAAAATTGATGTAAACTCATCCGTTTATTTCTTTGAAAAAACATGACTGAAAAAAATGGAACACCCGCATGAAAGGACCCTTAATGTGCTGGAGAATGTTAAAGAGCTCCTTATAAGGTCAGATTTGCCTAATGGTGGGGCAGATTTATTAAAACTGGAGCACTCAGAATCTGGTGCAGATGTGCATGGTAGTCAATCAGCTTCTAACTTCAGCTTGTTCAGTTATGCTATGGCAATAAAACCTGGAAGCTGATTGGTTTCTATGTAGCGTTACACCAGATTCTGCATGTTACAGTTTCAGTAAAAAACCATTGCGGTCTGAGCATCTGGGCTCAGTTACGACCAGCAGGTTAAAAAAGCTCAAGGCTGATCATTATGCACAACTCTAAAGCTGGATTCCCGCATGAGCGGTGTGGATTGAAGCTCAGGTTTCACAGCTAATTGACACAGTAGTTGTTCAGCTGTTCAGGTCAGGTTTACACCAGTTCAGGACAGGTTTAAATCCTGTTCACAGCTGATGATATGTGTGGTTTAGAAATGATTCCCATAGAAGTCAGCCTGTAATAGCCTGTAATCAACACCTGAACCGGACTGCACTGCTCAGAAATCGTATAGGACTCTTTTTCAATCTGTACTGAATCCGCACTGCCAGTGCACTGGACATATGTGTACAGGCACCATAGAAAGAAATGTTATTTTACGTGCCATGCGGAGTGGATGCGGTTCAAACCGCATCCAATCTGCATATATGTGAACTGGCACTTTGGCTGAATTCACACTATTCCAGGTGCATTTCAGTGCACACGGTAGGTATGAATGGGCCCTTCTAGTTCCCTTTTCCCTTTCACACTAAATTGCAGTGGAAAGTTGTAAACCTGGTGCAATACAAGGAATAGGATTTCTACATGATGAAAAATCCTCTTTCCTGCAGCAAAATGCATGTTTTTTTTTCTGTTTTAAAATGGACAAGTATAATTTGGCACTAAACCACCACAGCTGAAATGTAACCCTCATTTTCCTGAGTACATTATGAAGGGTGAAGAGATTCCCTATTAGACACGCTTTTAATGATCTGTGAACAAAATACTAAAAAAAATGTTTTCTGAGGAAGGGTTGTGGTTATCGAACTTTAACCACTTGCCTACCTGCTACTTTCACCCCCTTCCTGGCTGGCCAATTTTCAGCTTTCAGCGCTGTCGCACTTTGAATGATAATTGCGCGGTCATGCAACACTGTACTCATATTAAATTTTTATCATTTTTTTGAGACAGATAGAGCTTTCGTTTGGTGGTATATCACCAATGGGTGTTTTATTTTTTGCTAAACAAACCAAAAATTACTAAAATTTTTTAAAAATAAAAAGTTTTTTAGTTTCTGTTATTAAATTTTGTAAATAAGTAATTTTTCTCCTTCACTGATGTGCGCTAACTAGGCTGCAGTGATGGGCAGTGATGGGCACTGATGAGGAAGCACTGGTAGGTGGCACTGATGGGCATTGACAGGCATCACTGATGGGCAGTGAAAAGCAGCATTTATATATGGCACTGATAGGCGGCACTGATAGGCAGCACTGACTGGCACTGTTAGGCAGCACTGATGGGCACTGATAGGTGGCACTGACTGGCACTAATAGATGGCACTGATTGGCAGCATTGATAGGTGGCACTGACTGGCAATTGATAGTTGGCACTCAGATGAACACTTATATGTGGCATTGATGTGCACTGGCAGGCACTGATATGTGGCATTGATGTGGCACTGATGGGCACTGGCAGGAGGCATTGATGGGCACTGACAGGGGGCACTGATGGACACTGACAGGGGGCATTGATGGACACTGACAGGTGGCACTGATGAGGATACACTGATCATCAGGGCACTGATCATCAGTGCCCTGATGGTCAGTGTACATGTCCCCTCTGAGGAATGCCAATTACTGGCTCTCCTCTCCTCACGAGCTGTCAGCTTGACAGCTCGTGAGTAGAGGAATGCCAATAACTGGCATTTCCCTATTTACATGCGATCAGCTGTGATTGGACACAGCTGATCACATGGCAGAGCTTACGTCATAGGCTCTTTCCACTGATCAGTGCTTCGCTGTGTCCCAGGACACAGCGCACCACCGATCGCGATGGGATGAGTGGCGAACGGTGGGAGGACGCCATATGAATAGGAGAACCACCGCGCTCTTGTCATTACCTTATATGGCGGGGGCAGGAGTCGGTTAAAATGAAGTTATGTTATGTATTAATTTAACATGGAAACAGTGCTAAATAGAGTTCTATCAAGAGTACCTGAACCACCTAATTGTTGCAAGAGGGTCAGTATGCAATAGATATATGCATTATTTCATGTTAACTTGAAAAAAAAAATCAGAAACAGAATGTTTTTCTCCTGAAACTAATATGTATATACATAAAAAATATATGGGAAAATGCTAAACATTTCTATCTTTGTTCTCCAGTCCCTAATATAATTGGTATTTCCATGATGCAAACATTTTATATATATATATATATATATATATATATATATATATATATATATATATATATATGATAATAATAACATCTTTGAAACAATTTAGTGGTTTTGTAGAAAAAAGAAAATTTTTTGATCCATTCGTGTCAGCTTGCAGACTTTCCTATGGCTTTGACACTGTTCCTTTGACAAACAATGAATAGGTAGAAGCTGGCAAAGGCATGTCATACCATGGGCTTAATTGTCTTTAAGTCATCTTCCATTCTATTTCAGCCACTCTTGGTGTGAAAGTGATGTCATCCTCTACTCTTTGGGAGCCATGACATGTACACCCCTGCAGGGCGAGAGACAGCAGGGTTCGGCTTCATAGGCGCCAACTCCTATGAATAAATAATGGGCCTGCTGGTTAGAGATCTCATCTATACATTCTATCAGAATGTATTCATCAACCTCTTTGGATTTTGACATGGAGAAACTACAGCTCTACATAAACCATGAGTAAATGGCCAGTTTTGTTAAGTTTTCAGCCAGCTTGTTTGGCAAGAATAATGGCACAGGGACCTATACCTGTTCTTGAAATGTAGCATTTATTAACACGATACACTTACATTTTTTATATGTTTTTATCTGCATCTGTGTACATGTTGTGCTTGCTTACGTGTTGTGTTTTAATTTTTAATGCCATGTTTTGTATGATTAGTGTTTTAGAAATAATTTTCAATGCTACTTGTATGATATGTTAGAGAAAGCTCCACTTTCGTATATAATATTGCTATATGTGTGAAAAAAAAACCCAGCTAAATAGAACTACCAATATTTTTTTAGATAAAACAGTTCACTTATATACATGCTGACTCTTTCTGTTTTTGTCTAATATTCTGCTTTAAAATACCTAAATGAATATTATGTTTGATATAAAATAGTGTTATGATTTCCTTATCCGTTGATTAAACTTGCTTAGATTTTTACATTTCTTTTTTAGATTTGTTTTTCTCTGCATATGTGCATTCAGTTTCCTTAATCAACACAAAATTATTCTTGTGATTGAGTATAATGTGATCAAGATTTATAATAATTCCAACAAACTGAGAAAACCACAAGATTATTCTTCAAAAATATCCACATATCCCCTTAACAGCATGCTTTATTTCAGAATCAGCATGGGATCACAATAATCCAAAAGCATCATCTCTCTGAATGAATTTATTAAGAACACAATTCAAATTACCAGTTTGAAAATTAATATTTGTGTGCTTGTAAATTATGTGTAAAAGATTTAACATCTGATGCGGCATTGTGGCAGATAATGGGAGAAAATACATTTTAAAGAGGAGCCCATTTTTAAGCCTGTACTCCCTGTGAACTGCCAGAATTGAATGAACCACTACTCTATCAAATCAGCTTCAGTCTGGCAACTCTTCGTCATGCTGTCTTGCCTGGTTGGTGCGAATCTCTGCAAATCTGTGCTCTTGTGTTGTTCATCAGTGGAGAAGTAAAAATGATCTTGCGATATTCTATATAATAAAACAAAAAGCTGCCCTAACTGCAATGATTTAATAACCTAACCGATATAAACAATCAATTTGAATTCAAATGTAGCTTTTGTAACGTAATTGCTATAAATAGAAAATATCTGTGGAAGAATATAGTTTCAAACATTGACAAGTTAAATGGTTTTCTGCTATTATTAAATCCCACAATTTGGGATCTTCATCATTGCATGTGTTTTATAAATCATCATTGTTATGCATGTAATGCTGTTCCTTGCTCAGATACAATCTCTCTACCATCAAAGTGGCACTAATGACCACTTGATCTGCTTAGCAACTTGGAAGTAAAATTCAGACACAGGTCAGTGAATGATCTAATCATTTTATACTTCTTCCTGGGATCATGTATAATAGCTCCACCTCAGAGGATAGAAGATAGGGCTTTCAACCCTATGCACAATGCTCATAGTAGGCTGAATTATAGTGATTTAAGGTTGCTGGGTCACCCACTGATTTGTCTATTAGGGTATCTTTGCATCTCTTTAAGAATGGAACAATAATGTTCTGACTATAGTCTGTGAAAAAAAAAACAACAAAGTCAGAACATAGTAGGTATGCACTAGTCGAAAGGTCCTGTTCTCTTAACCAGACGATGTCCCAATTAGGTCAATCACCAATGCCGTCACATGGGAGTGATGGGAGTTAGCCACATGCCACCCATACCCATAAGTGATTGGTATTTTATTTTCCATGCAGCTAAATGCATTGATGCATAGCCCTGCATGGACAAAACACAAGTTCATTGTAAGTATACTGCTATACCTAACAGAATTAAGATGCTTTGGCAAAAAAAAAAAATAGTAGATTGCTTATTAGCAACTTTTTTCTAACTGTCTAATAGGGAATCATTATTTATAAGAAACTCATCTGCCATGACCACTTCCCACAGCCAGGCCTATGGGCACTTACATGCATATATTCTGCTTATGTGCGCTGCTGCTACCTAACACAAGATTTTGGACTACTTCTGTTTGTTTGGTCTTTAAAGGGGCCATTTCTCCCAGAGTATACAGTCTACATTAAAGGCTGCTAGTATGCTATCTGGGTGTTCTCTGTTATTTCTGTATTGAGCTCCATTGCTGACCTAGCTTTCCTCTCTGATCTTCTCTTTCTGTCTGTCTGGTCCTGTATTGACCTTATCTGGCCACTATCTTTACTGATCCTATCTTTGTTTCCAACCTTGCCTTCTTGTATTGGTACTATATTTCAGAAGTTTGACTTTTTCAAAACTGACCATTTATTTAGTGCTTACCCACGAAGGGGCAGCTGGAAATAGATGGGTTGTCCCAAAGTAGTACAGAGGCCGCTTGTCAAACAAGCACACCGACAGTCTAGGGGATATCTTTCTAGGAGTTATTGCTGAAGAATGTTAACAGGAGAGGGATAAAGGATCACAAGATTAGTAACAACAGTAAGAAGACAAACTTCTCTCTTCATTCTTCTAAAAGCAGCTTCTCTAAAGGTAGCAGGAAATGGCCAGTATATCTAGGACCCTGCAGCCGCAGTCCATAGAGCAGCCTCTGGCAACTGGTTCCTTTCTGGCACTTGCTCAACTACAGTATTGGTCCCCAGTAAGGTCTTTACTCAGTTTCCCAGGAGCTATCTGCCACCCAGCCTCCACAGGTAGATCCTTAATAATGTAGATAACAAAATCCTTCTCCAAGGCAGGACTCAAGGACAGTGCCCTCCAGCAGCAGGTCCTCCATCATTTAAATCTCCCTCTATATGCTCTAGAAGCTACTTCCAGATGCACAGGGAAGCAATCAAAGTTCTCAGTGGGGACAGACTTATAGTCTCCCCAGGAATCCTGATCAGACCAAACAATTAAAAGCCACTCTACTCACTTTAGTGGTGGCAAAAACTAAATTTACCTAGCAGCCTAACTAGGAGGGTGCTACACTCATATCCTGCATTTGTGTTTTTACTCTGACTAATTCAACTGGCCTGTATTCTTCTGCAGCAAGGTCGCCCTAGTGTTCACTCTGTGAGGGTGTCCATCCAAACCATTAGTGGCTCTGATTTATACCAATACCCCTAGAGTAAACATCTTTTGGAAATGATGTCTACTTTCAAGCTGACCAAAAGCCTCTTCCACCATTCCCATTTCGTCTTCTTGGATCATCTGTCTACTTAAGGATTCTTTATATACTTTTCTACATTCTGGTATCAGATTATTCTTTGATGGATAAATATGGTCCTACTAAGACCAGAAATGTATTAATTGTCCTGATTTCTTGCTGTCTTATTGTTAGATATATGCAGCTTACCCTGTCTAACTTAAAAAAAAATATAATAAAATGAATTAGGTGACACATTAAAAGTCTTTACAACTTATCAGTTTAGGGTTAACCGTGAATTATGACCTTAGAATTATTGCTCTCTACTGTTTTGTTCAAGGCAATACCTTGTGGCGCAATTGCAGGTTAGATATATGTGCGTATCCTATGTGCTCATTTGTATTTGCAGGTACGTATGTGCAGGGCAACAAGGCATGTTGAATTTTTTTTGTTGATATTGTTTTTGAGTAAATTTTGTTATAAATGTTATTTTTTTAAAACTTTTTTATTCATCTTATATTTAACTTTATTGCCATCATAAGGGGGTTAACAAGCCCCCATGTGATAGCATTGGGCAGGTGGCAGGTGGCAGGTGCTCAGTAGGGAGACCTCAGGGGTCTATTAGACCTCTAAATAAATGTTAGCAGTTGACAAGAGCAAACCTGCTATAAAGTGGTGCATTACGCATCCTATGCGGAGTAATAATCACTAAATTAGTGATTTTATTAGTTTTTATTAAGATCACATGGGTCATGAAAAGTTAGACATTATATCATGGTGAACATATGACATTCATAGAAATAAAATCAAAAAGTAAAAAACAAAAAACCAAAAAACAAAAAAAACAAACAAAAAAAAACGTTCTGCATTTTACACTTAGCTGCATATGTGACAAATAAGCCTGTTAAAATAGGTAAAGACAACTTCTGTATTCATTATGGAAAGTCCGTGTAGAAAAATCC